AACACCCCGGGTCTACGATGTTCCACATAACAAAAGTTAATTGCTCCTAATTGACAATCAATACCCACTGACCATTTACTTGTGGTCACATGGGCAACACAATAGGCAGAACATTATCTTGAACACATTGTGTGAAGGCAATAAATCATCTGTCAATTGGATACACAGGTAAATCAGTACAAGTAATTATAGATACTATGGCGGTCCCTTTGTCTGGAAATGACAGCTTCGGGCAATATTAAGGCGTTAAAATCAGTCGAGTATTTCTGGTCTTGGACACCACTGAATTTAAGGGTGTTGTCTCACGTAGCATAAACATCAAATTTGTATTACTAGGATACATACTTCTACCCACACTCTGGCTATAGAGACTGGAAGATACAGAAATGGACATAGGGAGCAACGATATTGTAAAGAATGTAACTCTACTGATTTAGAAGATGAATACCATTTTTTATTGATGTGCAGTTAATTTTAAAATGTTAGAGAGCGATTTATTAAAAAATATTATTGTAAAAATCTTTCTGTTTTTAAAGCTATCCAGTTGTTAAGTGTCCAAAAATGTGAAGAGTGTTGTATGCTAGGAAAATAAATATTTGAAGCAAACAAATTAAGAGACCCTTTTATTTTTCTTTCACATGTCAATGTCCACTGTATTTATATCAGAGAATCAATCATTATCTATACTGTGTATTATGTACTGGAGGGCCTAAGGCCTAAAGTTTGAATGAAACTTGAAACTCAATTCAATTTAATTGTAGGCCTTACGGCCCATGAGTACATATTACATATTACATACAATTCATAATAAGTATGTGAAACAGCAAGACAAAAGTGGAGTACGAGTTAAAGAAATAACAGCTCTTATCTTATTTGCTTCAAAAATAAATTTGGTCTAGAATATAAATGGTATTTTCCTTTTATACAGGTAATGCGTTTGTTACATGTGAGGTGAGATTTTGAGTCAGAGAACAATAGCATTTAATTACAGGTAAACTATAGTCTGTACTATAAAGTGTCTTACCATATGAATATAAACGTCTGGTGTTCAATTTTATTTATTTATGATGTTGTTTCCACTAGCGATGTTAGCGATTTTGTGGACAACGCGTACACACTTTACACCTTTGTGTGCAGAAGGTCACAGTACACAATACCGTACTAGTCATCAAAACGTCACATAGAAACTCTTATTGGTTGTGTAAAAAGAACTTTTCATAATCAGATTGGTGTGTTTTAAGGATTTATTTGGCTTTGAAAGCTCTTGATTTTTAGTGGCAATTATTTGAATTTTTCACTAATCATTGGTTAAATTAACAACCAACTTTTGAACAACCGGGGCCCGCACGTGCGGGATGCGCAGGATGTGTAACTGTCGTGTTATTCAGCGAATAGTTGCAATGACAGTGCACATGGTTTTGGTTTCTTAAAAACATATAGAACTTTTTTATTTGAAATCTTAAAGAAAATGGAAATTCTTTATGAATTTCTACGTAAGGTGAATTATTGGGATTTTTAATTCCTGTAGAGGCGGAAATGTGTAGAATGTGGGCGAGGTTATTGATTTGTACTTCGTGTTGGCGATTGTGCACTACGTACGGTAAATGATAGGTTGTATTTTTTGTGTTTGGTTCCTTTCGAAGGCTGTGGGATTTGAGGGAAGTCTGTTTCACTGGAGCAACAAACACGCAATGTACATTTCTCAGGGAACACACGAAATATAATACAGGAAAACAGGCAATGTCCATTTCTCAGGGAACACGCGAAATATAATACAGAAAAACACGCAGTGCACATTTCTCAGGTAACACACGAAATATAATACAGGAAAACACGCAATGCCCATTTCTCAGGGAACACGCGAAATATAATACTGAAAACACGCAATGTACATTTCTCAGGGAACACACGAAATATAACACAGAAAAACACGCAATGTACATTTCTCAGGGAACACACGAAATATAATACAGGAAAACAGGCAATGTCCATTTCTCAGGGAACACGCGAAATATAATACAGAAAAACACGCAGTGCACATTTCTCAGGTAACACACGAAATATAATACAGGAAAACAGGCAATGTCCATTTCTCAGGGAACACACGAAATATAATACAGAAAACACGCAATGCACATTTCTCATGGAACACACGAAATATAACACAGAAAAACACGCAATTTACGTTTCTCCTTGTAGGAAATACACATATTATGTATTTCGGTAAACCACGTTGATAATTAAACGTATCGGTGCTTATTTTGGTAGCGTTGAAATGGTAAATGCTACTTCGAAGAAGTGCATGCGGCGGCCTAGCTGTAAATATTGTTGCCTATTTTTCTGTCTTAAACTCTGAGGAATGGTGTTGGTAGTTTATGAAGAGGATCCAAAATAACAACACTAAAACCAGGAATCCTATATAGACACTTGTGGTTCGTGTAATGTGAAGATTGTACATGTTTTAATATACAGGATCTTAAAGCCCCGAATTGTTTTAAGGCTAATGGGTGGCACGGCAACACTGTAGCATTTCCTGCTCTTATACACATTCGTGGATTTTCTGTCAGTATCGCTCATTCTCCTTCCAATTCATGTACCTCAGCCAATTTGTCCCAACTTGAACTGCCGAAATATTTGGTGAAATTCACATATTTTCGCTTCTTTTAAATAAATTCTTCATGATCAAACAAGTAGTGCCTTTCTATTCACAGGAATATAAGTTCTCTAGCTCGCTAATAAATATCAAAAGAGTGCCTACGTCAGACATTTCCGTGCCTTATGGTGGTTATACAACAGAAAAGAAAACGTTTCATATTTCAATGCCACCATATTTATTTTTACTAATGGGAGGAATGATAAATGTTATTGTTACTGTATAGTATAAAGACTCGGAACATAATTATATAACGCTTATAATTTTGTTCAACTATTTCAAACTTTACTGGAGCATATGTTTTTAATACCTTTTTGACTTGCTGAACGTGTAAAATGTGCCTCCATGTCGGGATATTCGTTAAGTTACCACAGTGGTGAGTAACTGTGATGTAGGACAGACGTCAATTACGTATCATCTAGTAATTCAAACGCACAGACGCGACCTGGGTGTAATAGGGAGGGGAGGGGGATGGTGAGAATTGCGAGGAGGAGTCCCCCTGGGACAATCAACACTATAACTTAAGTTGTCCATCAGCTGTCTTGTTACACCGTTACCCCATTAGTAACAGCCCACGATTCACCGATACATGCTGAGTTAATTAACTACCATGAATAGGGCTTTGTTTCCATACGGAGATACATCTACACGCTGACTTTGATACATACCTTTTGGTGTTACACAACCAGTGGTTGTCTGACATCGTACAGCACCTGGCACTGAAACACGGTGTAGATATATCTGACACCTGTGTATCACGGTGTAGATATATCTGACACCTGTGTATCACGGTGTAGATATATCTGACACCTGTGTATCACGGTGTAGATATATCTGATACCTGTGTATCACGGTGTAGATATATCTGATACCTGTGTATCACGGTGTAGATATATCTGACACCTGTGTATCAGTGGATGTGTAATTAATTGATAGCGGTTTATTAAAAGTCATTACTGCATATTGAGACACCTGTTTACAGAGAACAGATCATTTTCACCTGCTGTTTATGAAACTGACTGTTCAAATTGGACATAAGAATGTTTCTATGTTACCTAGGTATAGTTGTTTATCGCAATCCAAACCGTGGATCTGATGGAGCTTTCAGGTGAGCCTTGACAAAGCCTTGCACGGCCTGCGTAAGCAATGGCAGGTCCGCCGGGATTTATACCCGAAAATGTTACATTTAAAAACAGACAAACCGGTTGTTCTGCATAAATTAGACTGGCTACCATCCCCTAAGTGTTTATGAAGAATTTCTCAACTGCATTTTACTAATAGCTTATCTCCCCCTAGATTAGGACTTAGGAATCGGACATCCAAGTGATCAAAATTGTTAGAGATTTGTTTTTTTCTAAATAATTCAATATTTTAGGGACGGGGGCCAGTCTACACATAAACACAGGCCCATGGACAGTACCGTGGTAGTATGCCTTAATTCATCTTTTATTGGTATTTTACCGGTCAGAGATGGCCAACGACGTAAAATATCAATAAAACTCGATCTGAAAATGAGTTACAGTCCCCACAAATAAATTAAGAAGCGTCTCTGTGTATAATTTGTTATGTCGTCGTTTAGGGCAAGTTCTAAATCCATGACTTCATATTGCATCAATGAAGGTTATAATAAATCCCTTAACACTTTGTAAAAACCTTGCTTTGGCAGATGGTGGAAACAAATCGTCTGGGAGCTTATATTACTGGCGATGTTCTCAGATACGCCGAAATAAGCCCACTGGGAGCAGGCTGCGCTGTGCTCCCCCGGCATCTCACCACTGTTAAACATGATAACAGTGGTCCTGTATGTCGCTGTGAGGAGGAGAGCGGTCCTGTATAGTTTTTTGTCCTCAATAATATTTTGTTTCGGAGATATTTGGTGCTACCATTGCTGGCAGTGACCATGAAAGTGTGACAGGGTGTATTTAATGTATTTTGTATATGTAAATCATCTGGTATGGACCAGGACATGTCTGATTATGTCAGAAATGCAGATTTTATATTGTCTGACATGGATTAGATCATTGTGTATTGTATAATTATTATGTAAGATATTTTAATATATTTGACATGGGTCATCACATAATTGATAACTTTCAATTATATCCATAACAAATAGAGAACATATATACCTTTAATATATCTTGTATGTTAGGTTATGTGTTAGATAATGTATATTGTCACACTGTCCGGTTTAGGACCAGCTACTGGACATGAGTAGTGTTAGGGTATACCTTGATAAGTGACTTGTGACGTGGACCGATACGATTGGTTGGATTCCATCTGGTAAAGCATGTTTTTAGCTGTGAGCTGTAAGTCAGGCAGTTGTACATTAGATACCCGGGTAAGGTGGTATGAAGAAGGTAAAAGAGACAAGCACAGATTGAAGTATTTTGGTAAGTTAGTTTAAGTCCTTCTAGCTAATTCTAATATAAATGTGTAATGAATTTATTGGTTACTATATTAAACAATAAATGAAATTGAGATTAAATACATTTTTGAAGTAATTTGATACATTTTTGAAATAGATGATATAGTCATTTTTATTCTGTTGAAATCTACAAAGTTGCAAATGGTTTTATCATTTATATTCAGTACTATCGTATGTAAGAGTGCTATTGGCAAATTTAGTGAGAAAGAGCATTTTATTGATTTTCAGGTTGAGAATTTAATCCCAGAGAATTGACCAGGAAACATATAATCAAAGAACCTATGTGAAAAACCCCTGCATGATACTGTAGGGTAAGTGTACAGAAAGATCTACTGGGGAAGGTATTTCACCCACAACGCTACCCAGTAGTTACCTACCATGTACTAACCTTTGAAAAAACAAAATATATTCATATACCAATATTTTACTTTGCCATTGGAAACAGAACTAAAATATAAATATTAAGATAAAACTCTACAAGTTATCTACTGATTGGTTACTAGTTTTAACGTTTAGGTGATAAAATAGTATATTAATAAAATATACACACCTTTCAAGATCGATTTGTTTTGTAAATGATTTGTACATTTCGTTTGTTCAATATGCCATGTTTTCCACAAACACTTCAGTGCGATTTCCAATTGATGTGTAGTCAAAGCTCCCTTAAGTCCTAATTGGCCTGTATAGTGTACTAACGATGCACTTTCATCTACAGTTGGTAGTCCATGGTCTAGGTAACCTCTACTTTTGTGGTAGGACTACTCCGATTGGAGATTTCTACTGTATTTGGTTGTATTCTGATTGAATGTTACTACTTTAGTATGTCATCTCTGATTGGATACTCCAGTTGTAGTAGGTGTATTCTAATTGGAGAGTCTAACTGTGGTACGTCACCTCTGATTGGATACTCCAGTTGTAGAAGGTGTATTCTAATATGAGAGTCTAACTGTGGTGCGTCACCTCTGATTGGACACTCCTGTTGTAGTAGGTGTATTCTGATTGGACATTCTTCCTGTGGTACGTCGTCTCTGATTGGGATACTTTACTTTGGTAGGAATATTATTTGAACTGCAGGTTACTGCTATTGTAGGCCATCTCTGTTATTGGCTATTCCTGCTGTATTTGCTATATTCAGATGGTTGGTGTAAAATTCCCCGTTCGAGACAATGTAACACGTTCAGAGGAAATGTTAAGTAGGAACAATAGTCATACAAACTCTATTGTTATAAATTCACACAAAGTCTATTGTTATAAAGTCACACAAAGTCTATTGTTATAAAGTCACACAAACTATTGTTATATAGTCATACAAAATCTATTGTTATATAGTCAAACAAACTCTATTGTTATAAAGTCATACAGACTCTATTGTTCTATAGGCATACAAACTATATTGTTATAAAGTCACACAAAGTCTATTGTTATATAGTCATTCAAATTCTTTTGTTATAAAGTCATACAAACTCTATTGTTATAAAGTCACACAAAGTCTATTGTTATATAGGCATACAAACTCTATTGTTATAAAGTCATACAAACTCTTTTGCTATATAAGTCATACAAACTCTATTGCTATATAAGTCGTACAAACTATATTGTTATATAAGTCATACAAACTATATTGCTATATAAGTCATACAAACTCTATTGCTATATAAGTCATACAAACGATATTGCTATATAAGTCGTACAAACTATATTGTTATATAAGTCATACAAACTATATTGCTATATAAGTCATACAAACTCTATTGCTGTATAAGTCATACAAACTCTATTGCTATATAAGTCATACAAACTATATTGCTATAGGCCTATAAGTCGTACAAACTCTATTGTTATATAAGTCATACAAACTATATTGCTATATAAGTCATACAAACTCCATTGTTATTAAGTTGTTAAGTTATTTAAGAAACGCACGCAGAGTTGGCGTTATCTTTAAACTTATCTGAAAACTTCCTTCTTTTGACTCCCTCGTGCAGAACTTTAAAAGAGGCAGCTGCTGGCTCGGATATAGCGTTATCAGTAGTATTTATAGAGGCAGAGCGTGTTCACTGTAAAATTGCAGTATACTTGCGAGTAGAGATAAAACACACAGTTCACCGTATCACAACATCGGCCAAACGTAAATAGGAGATTTTCATTTTTAAAAAACCCATTGAAACTCCATATCACAGTTAAGTTATTTTTCGAATTTTGAAACATTCATTTTCCATACCTGGTTCAGTTCCCCTGGCGCCGCCATGTAAAGCACTTCACCACTACAACGTGAGAGGGGTTGATGTTTATCGGAATATTTTTGGTATTACAAACTAAGTTAAGTGATACATTGTGGTTTCCTGAGTATTTTGTGTGAAAACTTTGCGATGAGGACGGAATGATGAATATTGGCTTGTTTTTAAAAGGTTCGGAAGAGAACTTAAAGGTAAGACTAATGTTAAAATATATATCCCTACAAATATATGTTGGCTTTCATAAGTGTGATATAAAAAAATTATGAGATTAACAGATTCCAGTAAGATTTAAGTATTGAATAGCGCGCTTCATGTTGGATTTGCCTTTTCCCAGTCGGAATTCATATTGCCTATGAATGCCAACTGAAAGCAGTTCAATGCTTAAATGTAGGGAATGAAACCAAAGAGTAAAATTATGATAAGATTAAGGGAATCAAACTAAACCGTAAGACATCAAGTTTGAAGGAAAAAAACTATCAAAATACAGTGTAAGACTGAGGATGTCAGTAAAAATAACTACCTATAAATGTTAACATGTTTAGTTTTTGTTGACATTTCGCTTCTCTAACACAACTATGTCTTAACGTGTGACGTCAATATCAGTTTTTATACACGTGTTTATATGTTACGTCATAAGTCTTTAACACGTGTTTATGTATAACGTCACAATCAACGTCACACTCAGTCTTTACACGTGTTAATGTGTAACGTCACACTCAGTCTTTACACGTGTTAATGTGTAACGTCACA